GAATTTTTTTTTCATGATTCAAAGTGAATGCTTTGGACACGTCCATGCTGCAGGGACGTGTCAATTTTTTGTATGTGATCCAACCAGATAACTTCTCATAAGCCGGGAAATCATTAATCGTTCACATAAAAGCAGCTCTAAGATGAAAATTATGTTTCATTGTAATAACACAAGCCAACACACTTGTTTCTCACAATATTTGTAACTCATCTATAAGAGGCCGTAAGTGCACGTCAATTTAATCCTTGAGGCTATGTGGACATGGTATGATCAACGTTAGAAATAAAAATAACACAGTCATACACATATCAAGAGATAAATTGTATGACGTGACAATAATTGACCAACATGAGGTTGCAACGTGATTGTATATTGTGCACCCATTTGCACATAAGTCAAATCTAATGTTACGAGGCTTTGCTGCGAAGTCAATATGACTACAATAGAAGTGTTTTCAGGCTTCAACAACTGAAGAATGAGTCATTGTATTAGTACAAACAAATCTTGTATTATGACATGTCATGTGAGGAGCTGTACGTATAGAAACAAACAATCATTGAACCCATGGAATGAGAATAAAATAAAAGAGTTGTTTGCCATAAATAATTTAACCTATCAACACTGCAAAATTTGTATTTTGTCCCCAGTGTATCTTCCTTGTAATATAACATGCAACCGTTACCGCAGCAATCTATCTTTTCAGATAGTAACCTTAACTTCGATTGTAACTTTTTTTTTTTGTTCAGTACAAATCTTCTGGAACTAAATTATTTTTAAAGTTCATGTTCTTTAATAAGGTTGCTACTTGATTAAAACATTCCCTTGGCATGTTGAAATCGGATTTGATACTCAATATTCTCAGGGCAATCAATAACTCCGTGTATGAAGTGCATCATTCTCACAAAAGTTATTGTGCAACATTTAATAATTCAAAAAATTGTTGTGCCTTACTATTCGGTTCTTGATCATCATCAGACATAATTTCAACAAAATGAGCCATGCTGACATCAGCAGTCATTTCCTCATACACACTAGAATCATAAACCGTTGGAGGGGCATAACTTGATGAGGCTAACGTATTGAACATCTGGTTCAAACTCGCCATGTGAAGTCCAATACCAATAATTGGGTTCAAATCCTCTACGATATAGATCAAACTTCACTTCATCAGGTATCAGATAAGCTTGATTCTTGTGCTTCGCACGGGGGCATCAAAACCTTCCTTCTGAAAGATAAATAGGGAGTTGCAATGTCTTTTGCACACATTTTTCAACAAAAGCCAAAAACTTGTCTGTAAGTCCTTTTCTTTCTGGATCTAATTTGTTATGCATCTATGGTCTCATGTTTCAAATATACATCTACTATACAGATGTAGCTATATAAATCAATACACTTAGATATATGTCGTTTATACAATAGGAATTTCATGTATTACATACATACAAATTTAGTGCGGTTGGCAGCTGGTGTCGGCTACATGAATCTTTTTTCTTCATTGCGTTCTATTGAGTGGCATATTTTTTCTTCATTGCGTTCTATTGAGTGGCATATTTTTCATTTAATTCAAATAGATTGAGATCATTTTTTATACAACACGCCTTTGTCTTTTTAGGTCTTTCTCTAGCATTTTTAACAAAAGTCATATCTATAACATTTACTATCCTAATTGGTTTATTAGATGATCGATGTTTAATGTGGCAAAACAACAAAACATTTTTCCCACTAAGGGTGGCCGACTACATGAAACTTGTTTCTCCATTGTGTCATATTGAGTGTCATATATTCATTAAATTAATAGGTTAAAATCATTTTTATACAATTTTAAATGCACAACAGGCAAACTTAAATCTTATAAATCCATTGATTTGTAGGATTTATAGCCGAAATACGTGAAATAGAGATTTACATCATCTTGAGCTCTATTTTGTCCAAATTGATTGTCTGACAAGATTTCTGAAATACCGCCTAAATTTGATCTTAAATCCGTTGCCAGACAACCCCTACACGTCTAACACCTAAACCTTACATTTCACAAAAAAAAAAAAACCACACAGCTCCTATAAGCAGTACATAGCTAACACAAACCTTTTTGAGGCATTTACATACATAGCACAAAATTCTTATGTATTTACATATCTCACACCTAAACTTTTATATTTTGATACATATCACTCAAATCTTTAATATCAGATAAAAAACAACACTAACACCACCTAAACACAAAGCCTAAGCATTACATGACTAACACCTAAACTATATTTTTCACATAAAAATTATTCAAGCCATGTGCCTTACATATCTAATACGTAAACTATATATTCCACTTAAAAAACCATCTAATCTCTATGCATTGCATATCTAAAACCAAAATTTCAATTCTTACACATGTTAGGAAAAAAAAGCGAAAATAACATAAAAACATGCGTTGGATGAGGAAATAATCCAAGCTAGAAGACCTAGAGGAGGATTTCTCGCATTGGACGTAAATTGAGTCGTGAAAACTAGCCGGAGATGCCGGAAATCGAGCTCTGACATGGAGGAGCACCAGAGGGGAGGAATCTACAATCCGGAAGAAGAAATGAAGAAATGAGGGATGTGGCTTGGGATTGGGATTATTAGGGCGTTAGCGTCAGAGTAGTGTCAAATTTTTTCGATGTTAACAAGTAACTAGTAGCGTCGGATAATTCTGATGCTACAATGTCAGCTTAGCGTCGTTAGCTCGACGCAAAGCGTCTGCGCCGATTTTTTTCATCTATGGGACCGCGCAAGATGCTATACGGATGCAAATCTCGTGCTAATTTTGAGTCGACATTATGTCCGACGCTAATTCGGACACTAATACAGCAGGTTCCTGTGGTTTTTGAAAAATTTTACTTGATAGATTTTCAATGTGAGTTGAATTAGGTTCTTAGCTTGAGATATAGAGAAGTTTAAAAGTTTAAATTATTTCCAAAATGACAAGCAAGATCCTTTGAAAGCATGCCTCTTTTTCAATATTCTAAAACGTTATAGAAAATAGTCATTTTAGAGTTTAGATTATCATTACCACAATAATTAAGTCATACCAGGACCTTGACATGAGCACTCAAAAGCGATTTTACCAGTCTCTATGGCACCGGAGGTTCACAGCCGGTAATGCCAATTTTGTAATTCCTTTTAGCTTTTTATTAACATTATAACTAAATGAATATAAATAATACCTATAACATGTTTTATATGCAAAAACTATTAGAAAATAAATTATAATCTAATTTTGCTTTTATTAAATAATTAGGGGCTCGTGGGTTAAAAATAGGCTATCATTTTTGGTTTTCATTTGTAACATTTGGTTTCCATTTGTAACATTTATTATTTAGAGTATTGTTGAAGCTTGCATTGATTTAGATGGAATATAAATCATCTTGCTATAAATAATCAATTTAACGTATATTATTTCTAATGAAGTGATGTATAATGCATTGATGTTTGATTTTGTTGATACAAATCTTCAATAAAATGCTCAAAATCATGCAAATACACGCTATTTCTTATATCACAAACTCATAATTTTTCCAATTTTTCTTTACCTTAGATGAATACAACGAGATCTATGCATATGATAATTTAATATTTTTATACAAGAAATAATGCATAAATATTTGAAAACATGAAATGCATGCAATAAATTGAAAATTGTGCATTTGTAGAAATCTAGATTGGATCTTTTTTGAAGATAATCAATTACAAGATTTTAGAGGAGGCACCATAGCAATAAAACAAAATGTTAAATTTGTACAAGGAGATGATCTCCCTAGAAAATTTAACCTACCCCTTGAAAATACTAGATAGAATTGCACATTCAACCAGAGGTTTATTTAGAAATTTTATTGTTTTTCCATAACCCTTTGACTATTTTTAATAATTATAAAATCCATTTGGATTTATGCTAAAATATTCTAATAAGATTAGTGTCGGACATATATAAGCTTTCGTCTCAAGGAGAAATCCTCAGTAGGACAAGCTGCCTGATTTGTGAGTAGAATAATTCTCAGCAACCCTTGCCAACCAATTGAGTGTTCTGCATCAGCAAACAAATATCACTTCTTAGATGCTGAATGATGTCTTTTTTCTTCAAATAGGCTTCTTAATAGTTTTAGAAGATAAACAATAATGGATGTACCATGAAAATAGTTATTTCAGTGGGATTCTAAAGTTAATTTTTAACGTTTGAAAATTTTGCATGAAATCCACAATTTTACCTTTTTTTTCCATGCTTAACCTGAAGTTAAATTTTTTTATTCTAAGCAGTATGAAACAGTTTTTCAGTTAATTTTCCCTGCCACTACTTTTAAACCTATATAATTGCCATGCAAGAAAAAAAGTCAACGTGATCTCTCATAATCTAAGAAAATTAATGCTAATGCCTGAGATGTTGAAATATAATATTAATTTGAATAAAGTAAAATAATGTAATGAATTATCATTTGCTAGAGTTCCGCTTGAGAAACAATTAAGACAATGAAATAGTGTAAATATCATATGCATCAAAGGAATTTTATCGAGTTGTAAAAAAAGCTAGCCGTCAGTTATCAAATTCTTGCAGGTGCATTTACATACATAGCACACAATTCTTTCGTTTTACATTTCTCACACCTAAACTTTCATTTTACACACATAGCACTCAAACCTTTAATATCACGTCAAAAATATAACTATTACCACTTTTAAAAGTCAATTACCCCTTTTTCATGCATAGTTTTAAAGCACCAAAATGCTATTTATGTAATTATAAAAGTTTAGGTGTGAGATATGTAAATGCATAAGAATTGTGTGCTGCATATGTAAATTTCCCATTCAAATAAAAATGAAGAAGCAGAAGTGATTTGATGGAGGTTATTCAGAAGATCCAACTCTACTTGAAAACTTCTTTTTGATTCTTATTAATATATTACGAACAATGCCATACTGTTTTCTGTTTCTTTCCATCATGATCTTTTTGACTCTTGATGATATTGCTGCAGCCGCAAATGGTGTTGTTATTGCAACGGAGAAGAAGCTGCCTTCAATTTTAGTGGATGAAACATCTGTAAGCATAATATTTGTACCCTTTGTCAGACAATTGCCACCTTTTTTTCTTCTTACTTGAAGTTGTGTTTTCCGATTTTAAATTATAGTTGGAGTCATAGAAAGGCTGTGCATCTTGTTTCTTTATCTGATTGCTGAACTTGGCTTCAGTTATGCCAGTAGGAGAGCAAAGCATTGCCACCTTAATTTTTCTACGGAAGTTGATTACTAACTTCCCGCTGAATAAATTATCTTGGGGCATTTCATTCCACACAATTCTTATACATTTAGATATCTAGCATGTAAACGTTCATATTTACATGGATACCACTCAAATCTTTAATATCATATCAAAAATACCATGCCGTCACTACCTTTTTAAAAATAAAATGCACCTTTTCTTGTATAGTTTTATGACACCAAGGTGTTATAAGTATAAATATAAAACTTTGGGTGTTAAATATGTAAATACATCAGAATTGTGTGGTTTTTATGTAAATTTCCAAATTATCTTTTGAGAAGTGTATTTTTATTTATTTTCATTTCACACGTCTATGTTTTTTTTTTCCTCGACTTTATAGTGTTTTATGTTCTATTACTATTTTTTGTTTTTAAAATGCAATGTGAAAAGCTAAATTTTTTTAAAGCTACTTAACCCAACTATGATTAAGCTATTGCATGTTTGGAAGATGTATGATAAGAATGCTTGTGATTTTAAATTGGCAATGTTTGCGAAGATGCTTTTAATGGATGCGCCACATCTAATCCTTGTTGTGGTGAGATATATGAGATGTTTGATTGAAATGACATGGAATGACATCATTGAATATCATGCCCAACTTAACACAATTGTGATTAATCATTTGTGATTAATCATTAGCAGTAGTGAGAGAGTTGAAAGGAGTTGAAAGATGAAAAAGTTGGATGAATGAAGAATGAAAATATATTACTTATTGGTGATGCTATTATAAATATAGTGCTTATGCACTTTTAATTGGATTATAGAAAATTTGAAAAGTCAGGTTTGATATGAAATGTATGTAATATATATAATTGATGATGGTTGTATAAATTTAAGTGGCAAATTAAATTGATGCATAGTTTCTATTAAGTTAGTTTATGAGAAGATGCATAATGGTAGGAATAAAGATACGAATGCTATTGGAGAAGTTATATTTGATCATGAAGTATGTTATGGCCTTGCAATTGCAATCCCATTCTCTAATAGATGAGAACTTTCTTTGCTTTTAAGAGTAGAATGCCCAAATCACAAATTGACTTCTTTTTATTACAATGTAAGAATTTTTTTTTTGGGCAAAGTTTGTAAGGTTATTAATAATAGATAGTTTGACTATACAGAATCTATTACTTGTTAAGGATATGTTTCTTAGTAGTATAAAGAAATATTAAAAAATAATAATTGCCTTGGGTGCTTTGTTAGACCTTCGAAGATATATTACCAAGGTAAACTGGAGTTTTGTAGTTGAGCCAAAATTTATTTGTGACAATTTGACTGATTTTATTTGAAAATAATATTGTGGATGTTCTTAGGTAGTCAAAAATTGTATAATATGCAAGTAAAGTGATTTAGTGAGTTGAGGAGACATGAAAGGTTATAAATAAAAGAATTATGATTTTTAAGTAGAGGCAAAAAGCAAATTATTTAACCTACTAGCATTGTAAGGATTCTAGAAGTCTTGCAATGAGGGTAGCGATCAAGCCAAAAACTACAACTTTGATTATTTTATGTAATAGGTTTGATGCATAAGAAAAAAAATTGAGTTATATAAAGTAGCTTAAGCAATATATATGAGATATAGAGGTTTTGATTATGTTCTATGCATTAAAATTGACCTTGATGAGATGATTATGTTAAAACTTAAAATTGTGCCGTTGGCCATCGAGGCATTTTCTTTTTCATGTAGCTAGACATTTTGAGGCGTTAGTCTCAAAATTAACAAATCACACAAAGCAATAAGTATTATACTAAGTTCACAATGTGTAGTAAAAAGTAACATATTGAAATTTTAACCATTTTATAAATTAAAATATAACATAGTTAGCATCCTTATGTGGTAAAAGCAATGAATTATTTATAGTAAGTAGCATGCTAACATCCTAACATCAAATCATAAAATGAAAAAGATTATACAAACATTAAAATGAAACATAAGATAACGATTCAAGATAGGTTTGATTCAATTAGTCTCTCTCACACTCCTACTGTCATCTATCAAATTAAGAATATAACAAGCCACTAATGTTAAGATTTTTACTTTAAAAAATCGTCATGACTTTTATTAGTAAATTAACTATTTACTTTCTCTCTCATCGCATCATCACTTGTTTCATATTCTCTCATTTCTCCTCATTATAAATTTCAATCATCTTCTAAATATTAATTAATAATACTATTTATCAAATTTTAATTCAACGGCTATGTTGGTAATAATAATTTCAATTTCATTTTCAGTCGTGTATTATATGGATAAGTGGTGAATATTTATTAGATTTATTTTATTTGTATTTATTTTATGAAAAAGCTTATATTATATTGCATATTCCTGATTAGAACCAAGGAGAGGTGTTTCTTGAGGCAGGCCTTACATTATGTGAGGTATAAGCCTGATGTATTATCCAATGAGGTCAAGAAAGGATTGTCGCAGGCCTCATACTATATATTTTTATACCATGTCTTGTTAGATGCATTCAAAGTGACGATAATGTGGTTTTAGTTTAAGAGGAAAACATGATTTTTATAATGTTTGGAGTAAAGGCTTCGTGGTTAAAATGGATGACAAGTGTCATAGAAGTGTTATGTAACAAGATAATGTCATTGAGATTTATATGTAAATTTTATAGAAATGTAATCATGTTACATATATTGTATAGGCTAGTTATTGGCGAATAAAGTAGTTGATATACAAACTAAACATGTTGATACTTCTACAATTAATTCATTTCATTTCTCCGGGATGCAGAAGTCAAGCAAAGGTTCCAATATCATGGTTTTTATCTCAAAAATGAAAAAATTGGGAAACTAAAAAGTTTCCTTTTCCATTAAAAGAAAGGAAGAGGAACTTAGAAATGTCTGAATGCCTTGATACTCTTTACAGTCCTTTTCAAAACATGTTAAGCAAAGATGCAATCTTAGAAATTAACAAATGTCTTATATAAGAACCAAAGGATGAAAAAGTTCATCAGAAAATTGGAAGAGAATTGGGAGATGCTAAATAATTCCTCTTCTATTGCAACTATTTGATGAACATAATCCTTTATGTTATGAGCAATTTTTATTGTTTATTTCCCATCCTTACAAAGAACATTACTTCAAAACGTGTTACCCTCCTACTGCATACTCTGTATACACAATTATGTCAGCTTAATTCTCCCCCTCCACTTCAATTACTGTATCTCCTCTACCATTTTGGCATTGCCTTCATTTTTTTTGCTGTTTTGCGCTTCTCTCTCTTTCACCATTGTGAATAATCAACAAATGATCAAACCCAGTTGGACCCAATCACTAGAAAATCTTATTTGGTGATTACTCCGGCTTTTATATGTGATTGTTGTTTCACTTTACTTCCCCTCATCCTCCTACAACCTTCGAAATTGCTCCTGCATATCTTCACTTTTTTTGCTTTTTTTATTATATTTTTTTGTATTATTTAATTTAAAGTGTATTTATATGATTTTATACAACTGAGTTGTATAGCATTTCGTTCTTTCAATTTATTATTAAGAGATTTTTCTTTTATAAATAATGTTTTCTGAGTGCTAATTCTCATATATTACCTGCTTTGGATGATCTCTTTGCCATAGGTTTAGGGTTTTGTGTTCAATGCATTGCAAATATGATTTTTGCTTGTTTGGTAAACATCACGGGTATTTTTCTACCCCGCATAGGTATGTATTTTATACACTTTATAGATATTGATTTCTTATTTAAAAAAGCACACTTAAAAAAATGAACACTTTGTCTCTCACTTCTCTCCTTTGATTATACTTTTAAATGGGGCAGTTCACCTCAATAAACGTACATACGTTTACTTCTTTGGTGTAGAATGATGAAACTATTTCAATTGAACTTTATAATTTTATATTCCGACTTAAGGTTCTTTTTATTTCTCGCTCCAAACTAACTGCAGGTCCAGAAGATTCAACTTATGACACCTAACATTGGCGTTGTCTACAGGTAAATAAGTTCACTTTTTTTAGCATTCCGAAACTTGCTTTTATGCATGCATGTAAAGTTCTCTTTTTTTTTTTGCTCCCTGAAAGTTTATTTCACACTTAGATATTTGTTGAAGTAATTTATTAGCCTTTGGATTTAGGTTTCCTTGCACTCTTTTTTTTTTTTTGTCTGTCTCGCAAATTCTTTTTTTGAGGTTTGTTTGGTATGTCATGTGAGGCTCCTTTTTGTTTTTTTTTTGACTTTTTTTTTTTTTTTTGAATCTTTCTTGTATAGTTGCTTGCATGTAGTCAGACTGAATTTAACTTTTGACAATTTTAAGCAAGCATGTCCATTCATTGTAAGTCATTTTGAACACATCTCGCACATTGGAACAGAACATTTTTATTGGCATACTTCGATCAGAGAATTTAGCATGAAAGATATTTTTATTAGTATCATTAAGTATGAATTTCCTATGAAATTTGTGAATCATACCATGCTTTAATTAAATTCTGAACACACTTAAGGCCTCATTTGGGGCAGCTTATAAATGCGTTTGGCGTTTTGAAAACGCTGAAGGGGCGTTTGTTTCTTATGTTTGGGCTGCTTATTTGGAACCACCGTTTCAATTCGTTTATTAAATGCGACCGCGGGATCGACCCCGTGTCCCGCGTTCTTAATTTTGCTTTTTACTCTGCGCCCTTTTGTTGATCCGTCTCCTCGCTCGACCCCTATTCTGCCCTATGTAACTCCTTGGTCGCCTTTCTCCCTCGGTTACTTGTAACGGTGCTTTTCACCCCTTTCTCCTCCCTCCAACCTCTGGTTACTGTGCTCTGTAAGTATTTCGATGGAATGCTTTTCTATTCACAATTTGTGGCAATTTTTCGATTTAATGGTCATCTTTACGCGTTTTTCTGATGAAATGACTTTCTTTGTGAGATTTTTCGATTTTTGGATAATTTTGCGAATGGGTGAAAGTGAATTGGGGTGATGAGGTTGCATCTTGTGGTTTTGCACGATTCTCCGTTGCAATTGACTGTCTGTGCTGTTGTGTTGCTATGGTTGCTTTGAGTTGTGGCTGTGCGGTTTGTGGGCATCAATATGGGGGTTGTATTTGGCTGTGGGTGTGTTTGTGGCTGTATATGGTGGTTAAATTTGACTATGGGCTTAAAATATACATGTCTAGCATACAATTGTGATTTATTTGGCTGTGGATGTGTGTGTAGTTGTGTGTGGTTGGCCTTGGGTGCTCTATGTTGTGGTTTCTGTTGTGTTGGGCTGTTTGTGCGGGGCTTGGTTAGGTGGTGGCTGTGTTGGGTTTAGAGGGTGTGTGTGGCTGTCTTGTGTTAGGGCTGTGGGTGTGTGCTATGTGTGTTGTGGCTGTATGTGGGGCTTGGTTGGGTGTGGCTGTGTTGGGGCTGTGTATGTGCTATTTGTTATATTGGCCTTTGGTGGTGGTTATGTGTGGTTTGTGGGCATCTATATGGTGGTTTTATTTGGCTGAGTGTGTGTGGCTGTATATGGTGGTTGTATTTGGTTGTGTGCGTGTGTGACTGTACATGATGGTTGTATTTGGCCGTGAGCTTAAAATTTACGTGTGTAACATACAATTCAGATGTATTTGGCTGTGGGCGTGTGTGTGGCTGTGTGTTGTGGTTTGTGTTTTGTTGGGCTGTATGTGCGGGGCTTGTTTGGGTGGTGGCTATCTTGGGTTTAGGGTGTGTGTGTGTGTGGCTGTGTTGTGTTGGAGCTGTGGGTGTGTGCTATGTGTGTTGTGGCTGTGGGTGTGTTGTGTGGGGCTTGATTGGGTGGTGGCTGTGTTGGGGCTTTGTGTATGCTATGTATTGTGTTAGGTTTAGGGCGAGTGCTATGTGGTTGGGTTTAGGGTGTGTGTGTGGATGTGTGTTGTGTTGGGCTGTTTGTGTGGTGCTATGTGTGTATGGTGGTTGTGTTGCGTTTAGGGTTGTGTTTGTGGTTGTGTGGGACTTTGTTGGGTGGTGGCTGTGGGTTTGTGATATATGTTGTGTTGGGTTTAGGATGTGTGTGGCTGTGTTGTGTTGGGGCTGTGGGTGTGTGCTTTGTGTGTTGTGGTTGTGGATGTGTGTGGCTGCGTCGTGTGGGGCTTGGTTGGGTGGTGGTTGTGTTGGGGCTGTGGGCGTGTGCTATGTGTTGTGTTGGGTTTAGGGTGCGTGCTATGTGTTGTGTTGGATTTAGGGTGTGTGTGTGGATGTGTGTTGTGCTGGGCTGTTTGTGGGGTGCTATGTGTGTGTGGTGGTTGTGTTGGGTTTAGGGGGTGTGTGTGGCTGTATGTATGTTGTGTTGGGGTTGTGGGTGTGAGCTATGTGTATTGTGGCTGTGGGTGTGTGCGTGGCTGTGTTGCGTGGGGTTAGGGTGTGCGCTATGTGGTTGGGTTTAGGGTGTGTGTGGATGTGTTGTGTTGGACTGTTTGTGTGGTGCTATGTGTGTGTGGTGGCTGTGTTGGGTTTAGGGTGTGTGTGTAACCGTATGCTGTGTTGGGGCTGTGAGTGTGTGCTATGTGTATTGTGATTGTGGGTGTTTTTGGGGCTTGTTTGGGTGGGTATTGGGGCTGTGGGTGTGTGTGTGGTCCTGTGTTGTGTTGGGTTATGGTTGGGGGTGCTTCATCAGTGTTTGATCAGTGTTGGGGGTGCCTTGTATTTAATTGCACTGTGGAAGATTAGTGTTTTGCCATATCTTTGTTAGACTCTTTGATAGTAACGCAATAGTTAAAACCAAGGAAGTCAGATCATTAGCAATGTGAGATAGAGAAGTCACATTCATATTTTGCGACTTGTGTCTTAAGGAGGTTGAGCTCGGAATTAGACCCACCACCTATGTAATAAAGAAGAGCGACAAAATATTATAAAAAACTTTAAGGAACTGATAGGAAGAGAGAATGACATGTTGCAATTTAATAACAAGTGAGATCAATTGAAGAAAAAATGTAAATTATGCAAAAAACTAAAAAAGGGATCCACGGGCTTAGGTTGGGATCTAGTGAAACAGATAATAGATGGTTCGGAGGACTGGTGGACTGAGAAATTAGTCGTAATAACACATTCTATGATTTGCTATCCTGCAAAGTTGTTTTAAGTAATAAACTTGTTTGTACGTTGCATTCGGTGTATTGACGATGACCTTGAGGAGAAGTTGAATCGTATGTTCAGTGGGGTTATTGTAATGGACATTTTTGTGTTTACCTCAAATGAACATGAGTTTGGAAGCATACCAGAAGACTTGGAGAACGAGCAGGTGAGTGGGTCCAGTGAAGTATCCAACTTAAACCAAAAGGAGATGGAGTCCACATGCCAGTCAAAGCGACATAGGGTGGAGAAAAGGTAAAAAAGAGTTGCTTTCGTCAGAAGCCGAATAACAAAACTGGTGAAGTGTGCACAATTCAGGGCTGGTCAAAGCGGGCTTAGGGGGGAAAAAAGGAAAAAAGGAGCTGCTTAGAAGCCAAATAACAAAACTGGCGGAACATGCACAATTCAGGCTGGTACTTCACATGACCTTAAATGAGCATACCAGAGAACTTGGAGAACGAGCATATAAGTGGGTCCGGTGAAGTGTCCCGCTTAAACCAAAAGGAGATGGAGTCCACATGCCAGTCAAAGCGGTATAGGGTGGAGAAAAGGTAAAAAAAGAGTTGCTTTCGTCAGAAGCTGAATAACAAAACTGGTGGAAGCGTGCACAATTCATGGCTGGTCAAAGCGGTCTAGGGTGGAAAAAAGAAAAAAAAAGAGCCACTTTCGTTAGAAGCCAAATAATAAAACTGGTGGAACATGCACAATTCAGGCTGGTACTTCAGATGACACATTCATAGATGACTATTGCAGAAATCCTGAAGTTAGGTTGGATAAGCCATTCTATCTGAACTCGTTGAAGTTGTTGGAGGAACAAAACTGCAGATAGATATTCATGAAGATGCCCCCACGAACTTCAGGTCGACTATTTACATTTTTTTAAAGACAATTGATTTAGTGGAGTTATTGTTTAGTGGCTTTGGTTTTTTTTTTTTTGTTTCATGGGTTATTTGATTTGAATGTTTTCCTTTATAGCATGAATGCATTTATTTCTGCTCATTATACTCTGTTTTCAATTTTTAGATGTTCTTTTAACGTTGTTTGATGCACACTTATTACCTGAAAAGAACACTTCTTTATCATGGATTCACAATGAGAGAGCCAAAGAAGAAAGATTGCGGCGGGAGTAGTTTTGATGTATGAATTTCGAACTCCCTGTATGACCTCGACTTCTATTGGTGATAAATGGGTCGGAGAACCACTACAAGAACACCCCACTGTTGACCTCACTTTTGGGTGAGGGTTTTGGGTCTCCTTTAGTGACTAGGATCTAGCCTTAGGACTTTCTTAATGACTATCTTAACATCTTAGAAATGGTACCCACATTAGAAATTTTAACCAAAGACTTTCTTAATGACTATCTTAACATCTTAGAAATGATACCCACATTAGAAATTTTAACCAAGTCCCTGTTCTCTATGTTGATTCTATATGTGATCAAAATCTTTAATATAAGGATTAGAGATTACATAATGAAACCCTGATGAGAATTCTTATAGGACCTTTGGACCATAGGAAAGCCTTGCACTGCTCTACACCTTTTTTGGACTTCAATACATTACATCATCATTCATAATTTTCATGATCATCATAAACATTGTATTTTCATATCACAATGTTGTAATCATTACACTCATGAGGCTAACCAAAATTAGTTGAACCCAGTTTCCCGTAAAATACCCACTTGAATCGTAAAATATCCACTTGAATATTCTAATTTTTCCAAATTTCCCAAAATTGTCATTGAATCACAAAATTCACTTCAAACCATTTCATATTATTATATAGAACTTTTAAAACCCAAAAATTGCAAAAATACCCAATTTTCCTAAAAATTATCAAAATGCCCCTGGACTCCCAAAATATCAAATTTTCTAAAATCTCCCAAAGCCATTGATAAGTCCTAAAAATCACACCAAA